TAATGAATAAACTGGGTTACTTTTAACTAAACTAGAAATAAACAAAAAAGGGAACTGAATTCTGGACTAAATATATAGAAGATATATAAATCTACTGATAAGTGATTATAATAACTTCACAATCATTACACTCCTTTTTCAAAATAACTTAAAAGAACTGATACGCTCAAATGGATGGCGACCGAAAGACAATAGAACGTTTGTTTGTTTATGGTCTTTTATTAAAGACTCCTCACTACATTAAACTGACCGATACGGGCTGCAGGTCATTAACAACTGCTTCAGTGTGGAATCTTGTTCCGCTGGGGATTCTTGTCTTAAATTGGTCCCATTTCTATGATTGTAGGGAACAGAAGTTACTTCATACTTTTCAAGGATACTTTACTGTCATTATGCAACACAGGGTTGCACAATGAAATGCATTTATAGCTAGTTGCTACACTAAACATGAGAAAATATAACAAAAATATTAGTAAATTCCTGCAGTGCATCTTTTGGATTTGCATCGGGAGGAATGTAAGCAGGAGTAACGAAAAACAAATCTGTGGGCAGATAATATGGCCGGCATCTCAACATAAAAAATGTGACATCAGGGAAACATCAATTTATCCTCAAATATTATTCCATCAACTATGACTTTTATGTTTGAGCACTATGTTTTACATCATTGATGTAAGCAGGAATTATCTCGTCCCACCGGAGTCCTGCTCTGTCCTTCGGTCTACCCGTCAAGTGTGGCTTGATTCGGGATGCCACATTGGAGCCATGTCTTTGTAAAGATGAGGGCCCAGACCGATTTGCCTGTGACTGGACATCCAGGAGAGGACTAGGGAGTGGAATAGGGTTAGGTCCTAGCTGGGTTAGCTTAGCTTCCATCGCAGCTCTCTTCCCTCTCATTCTGGGGTGGTCAATTCCGCTCTTGTTAGCATTTGGTCCGGCTGGTGTGGCTGGATGGTTGTAAAGGTCTGCGTGCATTTTATTTTACAAGGGTAACCAATATCATTTGAGATACAACATTAATTAATACTCCTTTGAAGCAAGTACCTTACTTAACTTTCTAACAACTTCCTTGCTGCTTCCTTGCTTCTGTATTACAGCCTTTGGTAGAATATAACACCTCGCTTTTATTTCTGCTGAACCAATTCTGATAATCTGTATTATTATAAATGCACAATGGGAGGTTTGGTTCACTAGTTATGAGGAAGCAATTTGATTCTATTGATACAACCAGTTAAGCAACAGATTTAAGGGTCTGTGCCAACTTTTACTGTATAAAGTCTGTTCCAGTGCTGCAGTCTCATGAGGAGGAGAGGCATAGGAGCCAGAGAAGCACATGTGAACAGGTAATTAATTGATTTTATTTTTATATAACTCCAGAATTTCTTAACTTTGCAAGATATGTCTTTTTTAATTATTAGTTATTAGCATTTAGTTATTTGTGCCATTTTTTCAGAAACTATTGCACTTGCAGTCAATTTATATTTAAATAAAGGCTGCACATGTATGACAATTTTATGTAGAATGGACATTTGAATGTATATCGTGATCAATAGGAATTTAAATCTAATTTAATTAAATAATTAAAAACATCTTTTGCTATTATATAATCATATAACACATTTATTGTCCATGACTATGCATCCTTGGTTGGGTATGCAGTCTCTGAGTGCTTTCTAGTTGTTTTTTTGGAGGGAATTTAATTAAATACATTTGGTCGGCAGGTTTATATTTGGGGCTTTGGAGAATGGCAAATCTAATCATGTTGCGTGTGCTGCTTTTTGGATTGATAAGTAAGTATCGAATTCAGTCTGTTTCAATTAAATACATTTTTAGTTTTGTTATATTTACCTAAATTCACTAACTGACTTTTGTTTTTGATGTTAGCAGAGCAGACTGATTGTTATCCAATTATATATATGTTTGTTTTCATAGGTACGGTGACTCCTCGCACAACAGGTGAATTGAAGTTTAGATAATCTCTTCGTAATTTGTTCATGTTATTAACATGTCAGTCATAAATTTGCTCTAGTTATTACTTCAAGAATAAACCCATTTCCCCTGGATCGCAGGTAATACCGCTGTTTATGATTGTTATGTATATATATATCAGTGGCGGGCCGTGCATTTTATACCTGGGCCTTCAGTTCTGTCCTACTACAGTTGAACCACCTCCTAATAACCTCATTATGACGCCACAGCTACGGGTTATTATTTGTTTCTAGGGGTGTAACAATACACGTATTTGTATTAAACCGTTCAGTACGAGGCTTACGAAGTAAGCTGTCAGAGCTGTCAGAAAGGAATACCGTTCGTACAAATCCTTTTCCATGCTGGGTCAGGGCTGCTAGCTGTGGGGTTGACTGACCCTTAGATACGATGTCCATTTTTTCTGGAAATGTCCTTCTCCAGGAATCCGTTTGTCCTCCTTCAGCCATTGAGTGTTAAAAAAAAAGCATATAGGTAAAAAAAAGAAAGAATCTACACCAAGCAAAAACGCTAAAAATGTCATAACTTCTTACATATCTTTCAACTTGAACTGTTACTACTAATACTAATGTCTGCAAGCAGCTTCAGCCTCAAAACAGTCACGCTAGCCCACTGACCAATCACAGCGCACGTTAATGCTGACGTAGTTGTAGGCCAGCTAGAAGGCTCTGGCCTCTGGCATATCAAAGAATACGCCCAACATGTCAAACTAAAGATCTGATTGGTGAGGGCGTCAGTCTTTGCAAACCATCAATTCACTTCAGATATTTGATTTGACATTTGAGATGTGATCATTATTCATTGACAATTTTTTCTCCCAATTTCAGTTTGGGCACTTCAATGTCAGACATGCACAGATCAGCAGTGTTCAACCACAACGCTAGTCCCATGTTCCTCAGAGACGATGTGTGTAACAGCTTCCATTCAAGGTGGGCATTTCTTTATACCGTGTTCTACTTTTGAGTGAAATAAATGTACTGCAGAGTTATGTGTTCCTTCCGTTAATATTGACGACGTCAACTTTTTATTTTGTAGCCACTTCATCTGGAACTCCAGCACAGCAAATATTCAAGGCGTGTGCATCATCCTCCCTGTGTCCAGCCACAGGCTCTCAGACATTTTCAGCCAATTTGGGTGTTTCGGGTGCAGTTGCATCTGCTAAGTGCTGCAACACAGATAATTGCAACACAGAAACTCTACCGTGTAAGTACAGATGTATAAATACCTCATTTAAGATGAAAAAATACGAAATAGACTTTGACATGCTTCAATTTTGTGAAGCTTAAATGTTCTCTCTTCATCAAACAAATTATGTTCTTTTCTCTTTCAGTCCCTGCTGCTCAGACAGATAACACCCTACAGTGTTTCACTTGTAACCCCTTCACGTCTCAATGTACTTCTTCATTACAATGTAGGGGGGAGGAGAACCTCTGCTTTCAAGCGAGTGGTGAGTCTTAATCATACATGGTTTCCAAAAAGTATTTTACAACCTTAAAGTATCTCAAACCGACTACATGTGAGATCTGGAAAATCAATCAGTGGAGGAAAGTAAAGAAGTACATGTCCTGAACTGCAGTTTTATAGTATTTGTAGTATTTATATGATGTGGTACTTAATACTTATAGTCCAGTAAATATCAATGGTAATTATTGTACTTTTTACTGCACTACATTCATATGACAGTTATAGTGAGTAGTTACTTCAAGAAAAGTCAATACACTTAAGTTTTGATGTTGTAATATTCCCAAAATGTTACATGTCATAATTCAATAGTATTCAAAGTACAGTAATAAACACGTACGAAGTGAAAATACTTTTATTTCTTATATTTTAAGTATATTCTACATTGTGGTATTACTTATTTTAATCAATTAACAAACTTAAAACAATGAAGGCTGTGTAGTTAAACGATGATTTTTCCTCTACAGTGACGAGTGGGTCCAGCACTTCTCCAGCTTTTGGCTGTGTATCTACAAATCTGTGTGCAGCTGCTCCAAGCCTGGGTAGCCTTCCTTTCATGCAAAGCGTTGGAAGCATAAGCAGTGGACCATCCTGTTGTGGGACCAGTTTCTGTAATAGTGCCACAACAACTGCAGCCCCAACATCAACAACTGCAGCCCCAACATCAACA